TTTATATAACTATTAAAAACAATTAAAACCAAAGAAAAGATTACCATTAAATAAAATAGGTAGGGTCTTCGTTGATTAAAATGTGACGAACTAACGATAATTGAAAGCAATTCTAATTTTAATTTCAATCATTTACGCGAGCACGGAATTTACGCGAGCACGCACATGCGCAAATATTCGATTATATATGAATTCTTATATGCTGTCCATACTAAGTGATGTTAATTATAAAATATAATTGTAAACCCAATTAAGTGTGTGAAATAATATGCAATGTACTTAACACATATACTTTGCATGTGTTCATCGGGAAGATTATGAAACAAAATGGACGGTGTGTAAAACATGACTTTTGTAAACCAAGGGGCGAAATGTCGCAACTCTATATATATATATATATGACTCTGGTGGGAAGACAGCATAATTTGTGGTTAAGACAAATTTTAGCCAGAGCAGAGGAGAAAAGTTGTGGTCATCTAGACTGGGAATAACTTCCTTCAAAGATTTAGTTTCGTTTTTGGTGGAAAAGCGTTTTCTTGCATTCTTACTCGCATGTCTAAATAATCATGAATTTAGACATCTTGCACAGTGATGGAGGGAGACAAGACCACCTTTGGTGGACTGTCCTTGCAAATTTCATCAAAAACTAAGTTTCGTAAATATAAACCTTAATTTTAAACTTTTATATGTTAAAACTAACATTTTGTAGTGACGACCCCCGTAAGTTCGTATTCCCAATCTACGCAGGAGGGCATGACCTCCAGGTCAGCTCATCTGTATAACCCACAGCCGGGTGTGCTGCACAGCCGGCCTAGGGTACCTGGCGAGATTATGGCACTAAATCAAGAAGCATGTATTGCTACCCATTCACCTGAAAAGGTACACTAAATGGTATATCTTCGAGTTTTGTGGTAATTGTCGCTACGCGGGAGTCACACCATATAAGGGTCCTTGTTTACTTGCCTGTTATAGGCAAAAGTTACTACAATGGCGCTGAGTGAGAGCAAAAGGCTCGTCAGTATAGTAGTATTAGTACTATAATAGTAGTTTAAGAGCTAGTAGTAAGCATAGTATTGTGTTTTCGCACGTACTATAGCTTTACTAGTGGCTCTATTTTTTTTTTGATTTGTTAGGTTATTTTCTGTGGGGAGAAGTGTTTGGGGCTGGCAATTGGATTGCGGACCGGCAAGTACACTCACAGCTAATAGAGACAAGTTTTTAGCGTAGTTTTTAAATAGAGACATTGTAGAGGGAAGTGTACAAGGCCATTATACTGTAGTGCAGTCTGTCGAGTACCTCTGCAATTAGTTTTGACAGACTAGGAGTATTTCTAGTTTGGTGTATTTTGCAGTCCATTTCAACCTTTCATGTTAGCGTGCCTTCGTACGTTGGCTGTTGTGTGAGGTTGTGACATATTGCGGCCATATTATGGCGTGGGGAGGATGTGTGCAAGGCACGCTTCTCGTCCACGAAGTACTTTTTCAGGAATGTAGGTAAGAATGGCCCCGGAAAAAATGGTCCCAGAAAAAATGGCCCCGGAAAAAATGGCCCCAGAAAAAATGTCCCCGGTAAAAATGGCCCCATATGACAGGTAGGTAAAAATGGCCCCAATGAAAAATTCGGTAATAGAAATGATATATATTTTTTTTAATCTTCAAATATTTAAATACTGTATAAGCAAGAATTGAATCAAGAAATAAAAAATGGCCCTCAATTATAAAATTAAAGGAAAAAATAAATAAATAAACAAATGTTGTAAAATACCTTGTAG